AGTGCTCCAACAATTCCAAAGAAATCATCCTATGGATTGATAGATGAGATCACATGAAATTGAAAAGCTTTTACACAGAGTAAAGCTTTTACACGTAAGCCCCAAAGTGAAGAAACTGGGGAAACAAATCAGGGATACATAAAAAATTTCAAAAATTAAATATTTTTTTTAATATTTGTTTATTATTGTAGTGGGTGGCTGTTTGAGTCATGCCATGAAGTCATGCCATGAAGCACCACCTCTAGTGAGGCAGTTGTAGCTGTTACACCTGCCTATGACCTTGAGGTACCTGCCCTTGGGGCATGGCCACCAAGGGACTCTTGAGATCTGGGATGCACTTATGCTCTCTCTCTTCTCTACCTGGTGGATGTTGGATGCTGGGACAAATCAGGGCAGAGCTCACCAGAGAATAGCTTGGACCTTGCCTCACTCTTCCAGGATCCTGCTACAATCCCTTATTTCTGTCTTGTGAATTAATCCCCAAATAAGTTTCTTTGATCATTGAGCTGATTCCGTGGATTGATAGCGATTTAATCGTAATAGATGCCACATAAGGTAAGAGCCCTTGCTGCTCTTCCAGAGGACCAGAGTTCTATTCCCAGCATACCCATATCAGGTGACTTACAGCCTCCTGTAACTCCATCTTCAGGGGATCTGATGTCCTCCTCTGTCTGCATCAGGCATCACAAACATATGGTATACACTCAATGCAGACACAAATACATACACATAAAATAAAGAAGATAAAAGAAAACTACAAATGGTCAATGATTATTTCAAAAAGTGTTCAACATCATTAGCCATTAGGGAAAAAAATAAAAATGAAAAACCTGCTTTGAGAGTCTGTCTTACTCCAGTCAAAGTGGCTGTTATTAAAAAAACAAGTGGTAGCAAACACCATGAGAATATGGAGGAAAAGGAAGCATTATCTGCTGCAGGCTAAACCATAACCTGTGCAGCCGCTATAAAAATCAGTGTGGAGGTTCCTAACAAAACTTAAGGCAGGGCACAGTTGCTCACACCTTTATTCCTAGTACCCAGGAGGCAGTGGTAGGTGGATCTCTGGGAGTTCGAAGTCAGCCTGGTCTACAGAGTGAGTTCTGGGACATTCAGGCCTATGTGGAGAGGACCTGTCAAAAATAAAACAAAGAAACAAACAAAAAACAAAACAAAAAGAAAAACAAAACACCAAAACCTAGAAACAAACCAAAACCAAAATTCTGAAAATAGAACTAATATGTGTTTTAATTTTTTTTTGTTTTTTTCAAGACAGGATTTCTCTGTGTAGCTTTGCGCCTTTCCTGGAACTCACTTGGTAGGCCAGGCTGGCCTCGAACTCACAGAGATCCTCCTGGCTCTGCCTCCCGAGTGCTGGGATTAAAGGCGTGTGCCACCACTGCCCAGTCGTGTTTTAATTTCTAACTAATGGGAAATATCAATAGATAAAACCCCCAAAACTAGCTCTTTAGGGTTCTTCATAATTTTTAAGAGTAAAATAGTAGAGAGCCAGGGGCAGGCAGATCTCTGTGAATTTGAGGCCAATGTGGTCTGTATAGAAAGTTCCAGGCCAGCTAGGGCTGCATAGTGAGGCCCTGTGTATAATGAATGAGTGAACGAATTAACAAATAAAACTGAGAAGCATTCCTTTTTGAAAAGAACCTGTATTCCACATATAACAATAAAATTATTATTTTGTTCTTTTTTGAGGGTTCCTTGTCTGTGTGTTCACGTGTGGCGTGTCTGTGTAGTTCAAGTTCCCCTGGGACTCTCAGAATCACTGTTCTAGGATGATTTGCCATGTTAGATTTAGATGTGTAGATACATGGTGTGTGAGCACGTGTGCAGGCAAGAGGTGGATGCTGGGCAGTTGCTCTTCAGCTTTCTTTTCTTTTGGTTTTTGGTTTTTTGAGACAGGGTTTCTCTCTGAAGCCCTGGCTGTCCTGGAACTCCCTTTCTAGGCCACACTGGCCTCTAACTCACAGAGATCCATCTGCCTCTGCCTCCTGAGTGCTGGGACTAAACGCATGTGCCACCACACCTGGCTCCAGCTTATTTTTTGAGGCAAGATTTCTTCCTGAACATGAGAGTCGTGATTCAGCTAGATTAGCTGGCTGGTGAGCCCAAGGATCCACCAGTCTCCACTCCCCTAGTGCTGAAGTTACAAATACATACCACTGCACCCAGCATTTATGTGGGTACAGGGGATTTGAACTCAAGTACTAATGAACTTAGGTGGCAAACACTTTACCAAATGCATCTTTCAAGCCATATATATACATACATACATATATACATATATACACACACACACACACATATATGTACATATATATATATTGTGGTGGTATTTTATTTGTGCTGAAATGTGGTAATATTTTATTTGTGCTTTGATTAATAAAGCTTGCCTGGAGATAAGGGGGAAAAGGCCAGCCATTTTAAGTAAACAAAGTCAGGCAGCACACATCCTTAATCCAATCACTTAGCAGGCAGGGTCTCTGTGTGTTCAAGGCCATACTAGGGAACAGAGCCAAGTGTGGTGACACACACCTTTAATCCCAGTACCACAGAGACCTGGAGGTCGGTACAGACAGACATTGACAAGGAAGTGAGGTAGCTGGGCTAAGAGCCAATGAGAGGGCAGAAAAGCAAGGCATATAAAGGTGTGGGTAGACGGGAAGTAGCTTGCATTTGGAAGTTGCAGAGTTGGTGAGGTAAGGTTGGCTGGTGACTCGCCCTATTTCCCTGATCTCTCTAAGGCTTTCACCCCTATATTTGGCTCCATTTTTTATTTAATAAGACCATTTAGAAATTCATCTACAATATGTATATAATGTATATATATGCATATATTTAAATTAATAAATTTTAAAAATGACTGAAAACTTGAGTTAGAATTGCATTCTTTTCAAAGAAGGTAAATTCAAATGGTATTGGTTTCTCATTTGACGCTGTGACCTAACTAGAGAAATAAACAGGTTAACCAGAAACCTCAAATTTGCCAAGGTGTCAAAATGAAACTACAAATCCCACAAAATAATGAAAAGTGAAAACACACTGTTTTGCATAAACAAAGAAAATGAACAGATGGAGCATATACAAAGTACCCCCAAAATCATATTCAAGAAGAGGCCTTATCTCTGGTACTGTGAAGAATAAAAAGAAATATAATTGATACATTTCAAGGAAATAGAATCCTAAGGTGCTTGATTAAAACCAGGAAGGGGTGCATGAACCACTGAGAGAGAGAGAGAGAGAGAGAGAGAGAGAGAGAGAGAGAGAGAGAGGGGGAAGTTAAGCCACTTGGGCTGACGGTGTTTCCCTTAAGAACCATAGACTAACCAAAACCTCTTTTTGAATGGCTGATCAGGGTAGTCAAAATTACTCCCAAAATAGTAGAGATTATCCATATAGGCCTTGGTTGTCTCTTAGGAGTTGATGGTGTGCCCTTACCATTGAAGACAATACACACTTAGGACACCGGACTTGGATAACTGGAGCTGGATCTGACCTGCCTCTTTCCCTCCATATCATTTTTCCAGGACTCTAGAAAATACTATGTGAGCTGTCAAGGGAGGGAAGCAATTAAACAGTCCTAACCAGCTGTGACACCTAGGTTGTGGAATATCTTTTTAACTGTGTAAAGGTGTGTTACATTTGTTTAATCATGTGAACATGTGTTACATTTGTTCAATCATGTGAACATGTGTTACATTTGTTTCACCTTGCCTGCCTAAGGTACCTGATTGGTCTAATAAAAAGCTAAACGGCCAATATCTAGGCAGGAGAGGGATAGGCAAGGTTGGCAGGCAGAGAGAATAAATAGGAGAATGAGAAAAAAGAGAGAGAAGAAGAGAACGAGGGAGAAGGAGAGGGGCGTGCTGGGGACCAGAAGCCAGGCAGCCACCAGCCAGACATGAGAAGCAGTGAAAGTAAGATATACAGAAGGAAAGAAAGGTAAAAAGCTCCGAGGCAAAATGTAGATGAAGCAAAACAGGTTTAGTTATGAGCTAGCAAGAAATGAGCCTAAGCTAAGGCTGAGCATTCATCACTAGTAAGAAGTCTCTGTGTCATGATTTGGGAGCTGGTTGGTGGCCCAAAAGAAAGCCTGCCACACACCTACAAATCATAGCAATTACTAGCATGGCAAGATATGCGTAAAGGTGCAGGAAGTGGCACTCACACGTCAGCGGCAGCCAACAGTTGTCTGATTGAACTTGGAAGGGGAAATCACGCCTGGAACTGAAAACCTTGCCTGCTTCCTGGGGGCCTGTGAGGTCATGGATCTTAGAAAAGAATCCAGTACCACCACTTTACTAGACCATTAATTTCTTGCCATAGTCTAAATCTTACCCTCATCTTAGTTACTTTTCTGTTGCCACGACAACACATCATGAGCAAGGCAACTTATAGAAGAAGAAGTTTAGTAGGGGCTTACTTGCAGAATAGGAAATGTTAAAAGCCACGTCCACATCCACACCTACTTTCTTTACTCCGTGGGTCTTATCTACTTTCACTTCCTCCATCTGATTGATCAGATTTGATAAGACAGATGGACTCAGAGCAGAACTGTCTTCTGGGAACAGTTTGGCACAGACTGGGAAAAGGTTGGCAACAGACATCCAATTTGGATTTTAATTTTCTAAAAATAGGGGTTTTTTTTATTTTTATTTTTTTGCAGAGCTTTTTAGAATGGGGATTAGAGAGACCTGGGAGAGATGAAAGGATCAGAGGCCACTCCAGCAGGAGCTCCCAGGGACCAAGAAGTTCACAGTGTCAGCCCAGCTATGGGGCAGGAGCAAGGAAATGATGAGCTGGGGTGACCATAGGATTCCAACAGCTACCCTACTGCAGTAAAAACTCTTATCCCAGTTCTTAATTTCCTGTGATCTCGTTGTCTCACATGTCTGTGGACTGTGGGCCCGGCCCGGGCGGTCCTAGTAGCACATATAAACATTGATCTCAGCAGAGACACGGGGACAAGGAGAGGGGAAAGGACTTACCTGCTGCTGGATCCATTGTCCCCTCCTGCCATCCCCTACACAGCCCCCAGGGTGCCCTGAACTTGGCTCAGGGGGAGTGCACCACCTTTGAACCTCTAGAAAGTTCAGAGAGAACTCTTCAGGGCCCTCCAAAGAGGAAGAAAAAGAAAGTGAAATTGCTCAGCTGTAACGTGGCTGCACTCACACACTATTCCCAGCCACGGAATCCCCCACCCCCACTGTCCTCCTACCCAGCCACTGCCCCAGAGGGAGGAGCAAAGACAGCCCAAGTCCCCAGAAACCTGGGACCCCTGGTTCACTCCAAGGAAAGGTGGAAGAGCCTGTTTCAGCTAAGGGCTCAGAGCTGTCTGGGGCGAGGTGGCTGCAGAGTATGGGGAGGAAGTGGCTCCTTTGCCCTTAGCTGGGGTGCCTGGAAAGACAAGGGAGAGTGGGTTGTCTGCAGTCTTACAGACCTGTGGCTGTCCTGGCACCCTAGTGAGCCAGAACTAGGGGAGCTGGACCTGATATTTGAGCCTCAGACTAGGAAAAGTCAGAAGGTGTGGTGGCCTCATAAAGTGTTTGGAGCTTCTGAATGTAGCCAAAAGCAAGAAAAAAACCTCTCCTCTGCCTCCTCCAACCAAGGGCAAGTGCAGAGAATCCAGGCAGAACAGGTTGAACAAGTGTGCCCTTGACAGCTAGGCAACAAAGGGCTTCAGCAATTCCACAGAGGTCTTGAGAACAGACTTCTTTTTAAACTTTTTTTTTTTTGAGAATTTCATACATACTATTTCCCTCTCTCACCTCTACCTCTGTGTTCCCTGTTTTCCATCTCAAATCCATGACCTTTTCTAATTATTGTTACACACACACACACACACACACACACACACACACACACACACACGCAGCCTGCTGAGTCGACTTAGTGTTGCCTATATGGATGTGTGTTTAGGACTGACCACTTAGTTCTAGAGAATCTACGAGGGACTCGTCCCTGGAGAAGACTGATTCCCCTCTTCCCTCTTTTAGCATCCATTCATTGCTATAGTTCTCCATCTAGGGGTGGAGCCTTGTGAAATGTCCCCAATTCACATTGGTATGTCAACTGCTATTGTCATTATACAGGTCTTCTTTAGGTGACCACGCTGTTAAGATTTCATTGGTAGCTCCCTGTCATTATTAGAAGACACAGCAGAAGTCCTGGAGTCCTGGCCCTCTGGCTCTTTAATCCTTCCGCCCCTTTTTCTGTGATGTTCTCTGAGCCTTTGGTGTAGGGGTAGTGCTGTCAGTGTATACACTAGGGCTGGCACCCCAAGGTCTTCTGTAGAATGGGGAAAAGTTCGGAGCTGAGATTATTTGAACTGTCAAAGACAATACAACCCCGGAGGATGAGTACATTATATTTATTATACACCACTTCTTCACTTACACCTAACCCACATTCTCCAAACTAGAAAATTAGCATGAAGTTAAAAGGTAAAGAAACAGGAACAAAGCAAGTAAAGGAAATAGAGTCAGAAGGATGGGAAACACAGGCAGAGCGTTGAGTCAAAGACAGGGTGGATGAGATCCAGGGTGTGTGCACAGTTCAAGGCTCAGACTGACAGCTGGCTGGCACAGGTGAGCACCGGAAGCAGAAGCTGGCAGTGTTTCTGTGGAACATGTCCCGTGAATCCCAGGGCCTCCACTCATCACAGGTGCACGAGGCTAAGTTCAAGTACAGCGAGCAGAGACTTTGCTCCCTTTGGCCCTTTCTGACCTCTTTCTCTCCAAGGAGGGAACCTCATGTGATCTAGACAGATTCCAGGTCCCCAGTGAGGACAGGAGGACATCGCCAGTGACCTACACTGTGCCTACACGGTGCTGCATACATACAGAACCTCCTCCTCTTCTTCCTTCTCCTCTTTCTCTCCCCATCTCTACCCTTCCTTCCTTGAAGATTTTGCTAGAAGGAGGGCTGCCCCTCTCGGCACCACCGTCCTCTGCTCATGGCTCTGTGGGTCATGGCGGCCCACACAAACCTGACACAGACAGCGTCCATGTTGTTTCCTCTTCGCCTCTGGGCAGCGGGCAGGCCAGTTCCTCTGCTGAGCTGGGCATGCCCGAGCTGCCAGCTTCTTTGGCTCGTCAGCTGACCCACAGTGAGAGTGGGACTTCAGAGACTTCCCGCCCCCTTTCCAGCAAACCCTGCTTTGTCACACCGTGTTCTAACCCAGAGAGCCACAGCTAGGAAGTTCGGCTCCTGTCTCCCACTGTTCTGTGCTCAGTGCAGCAGCGATCTGGATGAACAAGAGGACATCCTGTAAAGAACAGGGCAGCTTTCAGGGGTGTAGGAAACGGCCTGTAACTTCACTGTGGCAGTGATTATATTTAGTAAAATTCATCAACTAATTGCGTTAAGCGAGTACATTTTACATATCCATAAAACTGTGCTAAAATACATAATTTTAATAGGCTCTTATAGATCATTTGCATGTGAATTGCCAAGTGAGGTTTTACATTATCACTGTATGCTTGAGTATGTATGGCTTAAAATAAATATTTTCAACTTTATTCACATCTATCTGATGTAATAATTTTTCCTGCTTTAAGGGTTTTTTTTTTTTTTGGGGGGGGGGGTCTGGTATTTCCTGGTACAGTTAGGTACAGAAAGGGCTAAAGGAAGTTCTTGCTGCCATATTCCTAGGATGTGTGCCAGAATTATTGGAAGGGTTTCAGAAAATAAAGTATGACATTTTCATAAAATAGTCACCTCCCCATTAGCATGGTGTCCTCTGTATCTGATAGTTCTGTGTTACGGTGTGGTGAGGCATCATGTTGGCTTTTTTCAGCCTGGTACACATGAGTGTGTGGCACACATACACACACATGCGTGCACACACACTGCATTAATTTAGACTTGCCTTGTTCCCCTCTTCCTCGGTCCCCATCCCTGGGGTCTGGGACAGACTGCGTCAAGCCTGCGGCTCTGACTGTACTTGGCTGGAATGTGACTGTTGATGCCTCCATAGAAAGTACAGAAGGGCTCTCTCCTGTGTGGGCTAGCCTTGGTTCAACTCTGAAGCCACAGGGTGTTCTGGGAGAGAGTCTTTGGAGGTCAAATACATTTGGGAAATGTATTTGAGGGTTACACAGACCTCTCAATTGAAGACTTCTCAAAAGACCTTAGTTCACGCTCATTTGGAATCTTTTAAAAGAATGCCAGTCTTCACCCAGGAGTGGGGGTCACCTAGCTCCCTTTGATTCCTCTTCCGTGTGTGTGTATGTGTGTGTGTGTGTGTGTGTGTGTGTGTGTGTGTGTGTGTGTGTGTACATATATGCAGCACCCTGGGAGGCCAGAGGACAGTGTAGGATCATGGAGTTGGAGTTGCAGATGATATGAGCTCTCCCACTCCCTAGGTAGTTTTTAGGAACCAAACCCAGACCTCCCCAATATATCACTCTCTCAATCCATATCCTGTTCTTTTACTTTTTAAAATATACATCGCACCAAGTCCAGTTAGTGCTGCCATGAGCTCATGGCTATGGGGCCATCTACTTGAACAGGGACAACCCACTAGTGGCCACCCCTCCCCCCTCCCCCCCAAGAAAAATGACTCTCCCTCCCCCAGTGGTCGTCAACTGCCAACAGCTCACCCGCTGCTGCGGAGGCATGCTGGATGACAGAGAGCTCTGGTACATCTGCATCCCAGGGCCACTCCTCACACACTGTCACTGCTGCTCACTGTCCCTGTGTCTAAGCCTCAGCTCCATCTGTTAAGTGGGCTACCCTTGCCTCTTTCATGTGAATGATCCTGTGCCTGCTGTTCTTGATCTGCCTATGACTCCTCCAGCCACTCCACCTCCACCCTTTACCCTCAGCCAGGCCCTCGGCCCACAGGTCACAAAGTGTGCAAATCTTCCCTGGCATTTCACCTTCTCGGGTGTAGCCATTACCTTGCGTTTCTCCCCATGTTCTGGAAGTATCCAGGAGCTGGTCTTTGGGTTGCTAATTAGATTTTCTAACCATTCCCTCTCCTCTTCCCTATCAGACTCCCTCTTGATTTCCTCCATGGATGCTTATCACGTCAGGAAATCATTTTGTTTTTTTAATTGATTCTTTGCAGGTTTCTAGTTGTTTGCTACACTTACTAATGAGGGTCTAAGTCAGCTGCTGCAGCTCCCTAAGTGCTGGGATGGCATGGGTGGGTACCAACCTGGCCTCCTCCCTTCTTCTACAGGCACAATCCCAACAGATGAGGACCCCCCTTCACAGCCTCATTATCCGCAGTTACCTCCAAATACCATGTCAGTGGTTCTCAACCTTCTTAATGCTGTGACCCTGTAATACAGTTCCTGATGTTGTGGTGACCCCCAACCATAAATTAATTTTGTTGCTACTTCATAACTGTAATTTTGCTAACTGTTATGAATTGTAATGTAAATATCTGATATTTCTGATGGCTTTAGGTGACCCCTGAGAAAGTGTTATTCAACCTTCAAGGGGGTCGCTACCCACAGGTTGAGAAACATAGCCATAGTGGATTAAGCATCTGTCTTACTAACTCATGATAGAGATTCAATTTCAACACAGGTCTTGGTAGGGAATATTAAGACCATAGCAATGCCTACAGAATTTTATATGTATGTGTTTTAAAAGTTTACCCAGTACTTGTATCAATATATTTTACAGTATCAGTGGAATTTGGTAGCAACCGCACACTAAGCATCCTTAATTCCAATGTCTTTAAATCAGCATGAAAAAGGATGGTTTATATTATAAGTGACACTGGGGGATCTTTGCTTTAAACTGAATGAAATTGGCCAAAGATCAGGCCAGTCTCCTGGGCAAAGAAGAAGACACAGCATCGTCTCTGTTGGAAGTTCTCATCCGGAAGGAGCTCATGGGTGAGGCCAAGGTGGGGAATTCTAATCTAGAGACAAGTTAGTGCAGCTGACAGGTGATTGCTGTTTGCCCTGGAGTGGGAGGAAGGCACAGCAGACAAAGCTCCTCTGGATTGCTGCACTTGACGTCTGTGCTATAAGCAATGAGCATGTGGCATCGAGCAGTGCTTGGTATTGGACTTGCTTTTAAAGCCCTCTCTTTCTAGCATCTTTAGTTTGTACTCATTCTAATATCAAGATCATTTTCTAAGGCACACAGACACCAACAGCTTT